ATCTTCACACTACGACAGGTCCTGGAACACAGACACACATTTAGACGTCCGACAATAGTCGTGTTCCTGGACCTTAAGGCGGCATTCGACTCAGTGGATCGTGAGGTTCTGTGGCAGTGTCTATCATTGAAAGGTGTACCAAAGAAGTACATTAACCTTATACAAGCACTCTACTCGAACACCACTGGTCGGGTGAGAGCATATGGCGAACTGTCATCTGAATTCTCTACATCAAGTGGTGTCCGTCAGGGCTGCCCACTCTCTCCATTCTTGTTCAACTTTGTCGTAGACATCCTCCTAGAGTTAACATTAAGCTCGTCAGATTTTTCAGGGGTTGACCTTCTACCAGGTGGCTCGCTTATTGACTTAGAATATGCCGATGACATTGTCCTACTTGGTGAAGACGCTGACAAAATGCAGAGTCTTCTGACTACCATAAGCAACAATGCGAGCATGTTCGGGATGCGGTTTTCCCCCTCGAAATGCAAAATGTTGCTTCAAGACTGGGTTGCATTGGCACCTGAACTAGTGATAGGGAGTGAAGTAGTCGAGCGTGTAGATCACTTCACTTATCTGGGGAGTCTCATCAGTGCTGACGGTCTGGTGACTGACTAAATCTCAGCTCGGATACAGAAAGCTCGATTGGCTTTTGCCAACCTGCGTCACTTATGGCGTAGGCGAGATATCCGTTCGCTAACCAGAGGGCGGGTGTACTGCGCAGCAGTTCGTTCCGTTCTCTTATATGGCTGTGAAACATGGCCGTTAAGAGTAGAAGATGTTCGTAGGTTACTAGTATTCGATCATAGATGTTTAAGAAGCATTGCTCGTATATCGTGGGACAACCGAGTAAGCAATGCTGTCGTTAGGAAACGAGTACTAGGTAAGGATGGCAGATCAATCGATGAAGTGGTGAAACTTCATCAGTTGAGGTGGTTGGGACATGTGTTACGTATGCCTAACCACCGACTGCCTCGACGAGCTATGTTTTGTGGTGTAGGAGTAGGTTGGAAGAAAGCTAGGGGCGGCCAGACCAAAACATGGCAGAAATCCATGAAGTCACTGACAAGTGGACTGAGTCATGTTGGTAGATGTAGACTACCTGGTTGGGGTCCGCGAGACGAAAGTCATCAATGGTTAGAGACCTTGAACGACATGGCTCAAAATCGTTTGCAATGGCGCAGGTGCATCTACTCTTTGAGCTCTCTCAAATCCTAATCTTCTGGATTCGTCAGCACTTCTACCTTTGTCTTTCTAACATTATCTCACTGAATTATATTTTTCGAATAATATCTTAAACCCTAGTCTTCATTATTATATCATTAATACCTCTACCATCTTTATCACCATGGGATTTGATTTGACATTTGCGTCTCTGTGCTAATAATGTGGTATGGCAACATGAACTTATGTACATACGTACGAAGTTCTACGTTGCAACTGACTGACTGACTGACTATTCCTAGGAAACATTAACTTCAGGCATCAGGAAAAACATCTGACCTGGCGACCCGCGAAGTCGTCTCAACGTTGGACCCAACTAGATCACTTCGCCATCAGCCACCGATGGAGGGGTTCGATAGAGGACTGTCGCTCGTTGTGGGGCACATTTTTAGATTCAGATCATGCCCTAGTGCGAGCGCGTATTTGTTTGAGGCTTACTGGACGTAGGAAAAACACCGTGAGGAAACCTCTTAGGTTTCTACTTAATGACAATAAAGCTAAGAATACATTTCAGGAGCAACTAGAAAAACAGTTAGGCGAACAGGTAAGTGATTCCCATCCGGAGGTAGGTTGGAATGATATCAAGAAGGCTGTGGAAACAGCAGTGATATCTGCTTCTGTTACCCACTATTTCCAGTCATCCTGAATGGCATATCGACGTAGGTCTTCCTAGTCTTCATGAAGTAGAAAAAGCTATAGGAAATCTGAAGCGAGGGAGAGCAGTTGGTCCTGATAGACTGATTCTTAAGATAAAGAATAAAAGTCCTCTTGTGATATTTAACAGAGTAATCAGCCTAACTAATATATTATCGAAAATATTGGCCACAATAATACTTCGTCGCTTAACAAAAGCTCTTGAAGAGGAGACTAGCAAAAACAAAACTGGTTTTCGACCTGGACGCGGATGGATAGACCAGATATTCCAACTACGTCAGACCCAGAACATAGACACGTTCAGACGCCCAACAAATATAGTATTTCTCGACGTTGAAGCCGCACTCTACTCTTGATCGTTCTGTGACAGTGTATGTCAATGAAAGGTGTACCAAAGAAGTACATTTATCTTATACAGGCTTTCTACTCAAACACTACAGGTTGAGTTAGAGCTTAAGGCGAGCTGTCATCGGAATTCATTACTTCAAGAGATGTCCGTCCAGATTTTCCACTTACTCCATTGTTGTTTATCTTTGTCGTAGACATGCTTTTAGAGTTACCATTATTTTCTTCTGACTGTTCAGGCGTGTAACGTCCTCCAGGAAACACGCTTGTTGACTTACAATATGCCGATGACATAGTTCTATACGGAGAAGGCGCTGACAAAGTGCAGTCCTCTGACTACACTGAGCAACAATGCAAGCATGTTCGGGATGCGGTTTTCCCCCTCGAAATGCAAAATGTTGCTTCAAGACTGAGTTGCGTTGATACCTAAACTGGTGATATGGAGTGAAACGGTTCAGCATGTAAACCGCTTCACGTATCTCAGGAGTCTCATCAGTGCCGATGGCGTGATGTGTGACGAAATTCAGCACAGTTACAGAAGGCTTGATTGGCTTTTGTCAACTTGCATCACTTATGCCGTAGGCGAGATATCCGTCTGCTAACTAAGGGACGAGTGTTCTTCGCAGCAGTTCGCTCTGTCCTACTATATGGATGCGAAACATGGCCGGTAAGAGTCAAGGACATTTGTAGGTTATTAGTATTATATTATAGATGTCTTCGAAGCATTGCTCGTGTATCCTGGACCAACCGCGCAAGCAATGCTGTTGTTAGGAAACGGGTACTAGGTAGGGATTGCAAACCAATACATGAAGCATTTAAACTTCATCAGTTGAGTGGTTGGGACGTGTGTTACGAATGCCCGACCACCGACTGCCTCAACGAGCTATGTTTTGTGGTTAGAAGTAGGTTGGGAGAAAGCTAGGGGCGGCCAGACCAAAACATGGCACAAATCCATGAAGTCACTGACAAGTGGACTGAGTCATGTTGGTAGATGTAGGCTATCTGGTTGGGGTCCACGAGACGAAAGTAACCGATGGTTAGAGACTATGAATGACATGTATCGAAATCGTTTGCGGCGGCGCAGATGCATCCACTCTTCGTGTTTTCTGAAATCCTGGTCTTCTTAATTCCCCTTGATCTTTACTTTCTCCCTTGTTTTATTTCACTAGTTTATACTTCTTGAATAATATTCACGAACCCTAATCTTCTTCATAACTGTTAATACTTCTATTATATCTACCACAATGGAATTTGAGTTGACAGTTGCGCCTGTCCGCCAATTTGGTATGGCAAGAGCAACAGGTCGATAGAGTTTGAATGACGTGGTTCCAATGCATTTGCAATGCCGCAGACGAATCCATCCTCTAGCTTCTTACAAATTCTGATCTTCTAACACCTCAACCACTATGGAATTCGAATTGACCATTCCGTCTGTCTATGCTAATGTGGTATGGCAACCTGAACTTGTGTACGTACGTACGAAGATCTTGCAACTGACGATAAAAAAGCGATCGGTCCTGAAATGACAATATTGCAGTCCTACTTCCGTGCCGCTGCACAATATGTATCGTGATTCTGTTAGGATATTCACCAAATATCCTATGAAGAATCATTTTGTAAGTGTAAATTCTATTGGTCTATTCCTATCGGTCAATATTATGGTTGTCCTGACTATCAGTTCCACGTACTTCGATGTTGTTTCTTATTGGTCATCCTGATTATCAATGTCACTTCAAATGTTTTTTCTTATTGATCGCCTTAATTGTCTATGTCACATACTTCGATGCTGTTTCCTACTCGACTTAAATGTATAAATACGCATTATCTGTAACGTTTTTTGACCCGGATCCCTAGTCCAGGATCTTGATTCTCTTCTGGACTCGGACCTCGTACTTTCTAGATGCTTGCAAAATACGGGTTCTACTTCATATCAAGTCTTCTTCTTTCACCTAATGGGGGTTAGAATATTCGAATTAGAGTAGCATGTCGTGTCTCCGGATTCTCGACCCTCGCTGTCGTTTTCCGACTAAGATAAACTCGTAATAGTTCAAGCATATCAACTTGACTTGTTTACGTGCAATCGTAACAGATTCCTAAATGCTCCAAATTTTCCCCTAAGTCCTTTAAGTGACAAGCAATCATATCGTTTGGCCTCAAGTTTGCAGACTTTTTCAGTAACACTAACGTGAGATCTGTTTGCTGTCAACCCCTTTTTGTGAAGTCTGCATAACTTAGTATTATGTTGTGATGTGGTAGTTTCAGAAGTATGCCCAAAAGTCAAATCTTAATTTGATTGGATTATAAAGTGACCAACAGAAATTGTTATCCTGATGTAAATGGCTCTTAGTTTTGCTCTTTAACCTCAATAATTTTGTACATAGCAGTGTTTTGTTGATGCGCTTAAATATCTACACATTTATGACTTTTCTAAAATTATTATAATATATGCAGCTAATCGTCGTTCCTCCACACTTATCAGTACAACACGTTCTGATCAGTATCCAAACATACGACCATACATTTTCCCGTTATGATCTAAAACATTATCTACTGGAATACCATTTTAAGGTACGATAAGATAACAACCAAAGTTGACCTTAAAGATCTTATATACACAGTTCAAATAAGAATCCAGAATTATCACATGAAATGTTCTAAACAAATCTAGTTTTACATTTAGCTGCAACTGAGAGTAGGATTATTTTATTTACGAATCGTAAACAATATTCGTCTAAAATATGTATGGCTAGGCTTAAATATGTAAATTTTAAACTTTTCAGGGATACCGTAGAAGTTGTTTGTTGCGAAACGAATGGGTTAGAAATCGAGTCAAGTAGAAGTCATCAAAGTTCGAAGCAGCCATCACTAAATAACGGACGTGAAATAGAGTCACACGGACGACAAAGTAAAAGGGCAAGTTACAAAAACACAAAGTTACAGCAAAACTCAAGTATCAAAACGAACAACGAAGATTTCAAGGATTACCAAATTTCAAAGAGAAATCATAATGACAGTCAAACACTACCCAGTCATCCTAATGCGATTCATGTGACGGACAGTTTTATCCCATCTACCACAGAAACGGAAATTATTAAGAGTAGTAAGTCGTTCTCTTCATTTTTTACTACTGTGTTATTTCGGGATAGTTTACCTAGTCAATTGCAATTTAGTTCAGGCTTCCATTCCCCACTAGCATAGAGCGATGAAATTGTCAGGCCAAATCACAGAGTAGTGGAGATAAAGCGTATAAAATTAACTATGATGAATTTATAAACAGTTATATCATTGGTTCTGGGAAGGTACGATATTTACTCAGCATTTGTTTATCTAAAATAACATCTGCGTTTCTCACGTCCCTAATATCACTGAAATTGGTATATTAGAATCTCATCCCATGAATGACAGCCGCCAGTATATTATACAAAAAGACCGGGAACCTACAACTAACTGTCCCCTCTTCTCTCCTTTCTGGTTGTTGACAAGTGTTATTTATAAACTCTGCAACCACCTCCGATTCCTGAGGCTATGTAGATCTTAGTTTCCATCTTTTGCTTGATAGTTTTGGTGTCCGCGTAATTCCCTTTTCAACTGGCAGATGGTCTGTTCTCTCTCTGACCAATAGGTCTCGAGTAGACAATTTTTTGATGGTGATGCTGGTAGTCATTCAAGTTTTAGCTCCGTTCAATAAGACTGTCTCGACATCTGTACTTAACCAGTTATCTTTAAATGCACTTCTGAATTTCGCATCATTAAGCTAGATTCTCCAGGCAGCAACGATCATCATAAGACATCAAAGACGTTCTCGGACATAAGCATGACCACACTTCAGACATGTGTTCAAAGATCGGTAGTCTTCTATGAAATCTCTTTAACGATGTCTGGTACGATCTATTTATTTCCTCTGTCGAGCTAATGTTTGAATCGCCATGTCAGTCAGTCAATTTTGTTTCTAAGTTCGAAAGTCGGCCCCTGCTAAGAAATAAAGGTTGTGTGAATATAAGTGCATCAGGTAATCACTGTTATCTGTTCGTTGTGATGGTGTCCACCAGTGTCTTTTGTTTCATCAAAGCCACTGTCAGTGAAAGCGTAGTCAGGAACTACAAAGAATTAATGGCCTATATCCTTGTTCTTCTGAGTTTGCATTGTTCCATCTGATTAGATATCCTGAGTATGACTATCGTGATATTTTCTTTTTTGGGGAAATTAAAACCACTCCTCACAGCTAAATCCGGAGGAAGCAGCAATCAAAAACCAAAAACTCAAAAGGTGAATCATGCTGGTTCTTCATGATGGTTAGATGAAGTCCTTTGAACGACTGCACTTGGATCCTCAATGGGGATTTTCAGAGGCACAGTATAAATCACTGAAACTAGGTTTTAAAGTCTTACCTAGTAAAGTCTGTGTATTTCGACGCTAAAAATTCTGACATATGGTTAAGAAACTGATTTCAGGAGACCAGGAAAGCACTTTGTGAACACAAGGCTTTAGCATCGTTTTCCAAGTTTCCGCCCCATACAGTAGAACTGTCATTTGCGTTGAAAATTGTGACTTCTGTGTTTGTTGATAGTTGTTTTGAGTTCCAGAAGTTGTTCAATTGTACAATGCAGCCCTTGCTTTGCCGATCCGCGCCTTCACATCTGCATCAGTTCCACCCTGCTCTTCAATGGTGCTGCCCAGGTATGTAAATGATTTTACGTCCTCCAAGTCATCCCCGTCAAGTGCATTTGGTAGGCGCATGTCGTGTTGTATCGGAGAATCCTACTTTTCCCTTTGTATATGTTGAAACCTGCTACTACACTGGTCGTTTTCTCTTATATTTGTTGTTGCGTGTGCGACAGAAGATCCAGATCATCTGCGAAGTCCAGATGCATCCTAGTTGTCCACTGCATCCGTGCTTCTCTCCAGATGCTGACGTCTCCGTAATCTAGTCGATCACCAGAACTTCGGAAATAAACGTTTCAGCCAATAAGGCTTCTTTGGTTCGTCACGATAGAGAAGTTTGTTCACTACATCAAGGTAGTAGCTACGGTCGTATAAATACCTTGTGTATTACTAGTTTAATTGGTTTCTAAATGTTGTATACGGATGTCATCTATCTTCAGGCTAAAAAGTAGTGACATCACACAGACACATTGATTAATGATCGACATCAAGGTTTATCGGTCTCATTGTTGATCTTTTTTAACTTTTCACTAGACAATCAAGTGCTTGATGATGACTTTTCCTACCACGAAGAAAAGGATAAGCACGAAAGCGGCATACACAATCGTAGTTTTAGCGTTTTAACATGGCCAAATGATGAACATATTCAAGTTAACCTCCGTAGATATACCAGTTTATCTGATTGTAATCTAGATCATATCAGTTCGGAAACTCCATCAACTTCCCTACTTAGTCAGGTCAGGTCAGTCAGTTTAGATTTTTGTCAATCATTGATCCATACAAGCGAATCCCGACTGATAGCGCAATGTCCACCCATGAAGACTTGTCAAGCTTGTCAACAGTTGATTCATAGAAATGCTCCAATATGCCCACTATGTAAAACCAAAAGCAGATCAAGGAATCCGAAAAAGCCAAAATTACGTCCGAATATGCAAGTTATGAATATCCCAAATTCAACAACAGGTGTCTTTTTGACTTCGGATTTGATACATGATCACCAATAAAACTATACGACAACCCATTAACTGTCCTGCTTACTTAGCAGTCCCGCTTTCGAAACTTTAATTTATACGACTTATAGTATTCATCATGACGATCTTTGCCAATAAAGTGCATTTATTAATGACTCAAATCGATATATATAATGCTTTCTGTGTATTTCGAATATTGATCTATTTAAAACAAAATTGCTTTGTTATTTTAAAACTCTGAAGATCGCATACTTATAACCCTGTGCAACTAGCATATGCAACTTCTATTATGATTAACTGTGCTGTGACAAACTGTTGAACAGGCATCAATTTATCGTGGATTAAGCGAGAGAATTCCCAGCATTCGTCTAGCACACGTTACTACTTCCATTAAATGCTAATCGAAAACGCCATATACTGGTGTATTGTTCAACGATTCAAACATTCAGACAGACAAATACAACGCAGAACTTCGTACATAAGTACATCAGTTCAGGCTGCCATACCACATCAGCACAGAGACGAAACTGTCAGTTCAAATCCAAGAGTGATGGCGATATTAAAAGTATTAGCAGTATTAAAGAAGATTAGGGAGCGAATATATGATTCGAAAAGTATAATTCAGTAAGATAAATTTAGAAGGAGAAAAGCAGAGATTATGAAGAATTCAGAAGGTTAGAATTAAAAAGAACACAGAGTGGAATCACTTGCGCCATTGCAAACGATTTTGAGCCATGTCGTTCAAGGTCTCTAACCACTGGTGACATTCGTCTCGCTGACTCCAACTAGGTACCCTACATCTACCAACATGACTCAGTCTACTTGTCAGTGATTTCACAGATTTGTGTCCTGTTTGAGTCTAGCCGCCCCTAACTTTCTTCCAACCTACTCCTACACCACAAAACATAGCTCGATGAGGCAGTCGGTGGTTAGGCATTCGTAACATGTCCTAACCACCTCAACTGATGAAGTTTCAACACTTCATCTATTGATTCGCCATCCATACCTAGAAATCGTTTCCTGATGATAGCGTTGCTTATTCGGTTGTCGCAGGATACACGAGCAATGCTTTGGAGATATCGATGATCGAATACTAGTAATCTACGAAAGTCCTCTAACCTTAACGGCCATGTTTCGCATCCGTATAGTAGGACGGAGCGAACTGCTGCACAGTACATTCGTCGTTTAGTCAGCAAACGGATATCTCGCCTGCGCCATAAGTGACATCGATAATTCGCTCGGAACATATTATACCTAATAATTCGGTAATACCTCTCACCATCATACGAGTATTGCTCAAACTGTAGTACACTAACTTGCAATTAGTGCATATCAGTAACGTATACTAACGACAAGAAAGTTATGTCGAGATGTTCCCGAACGTTGACATGTAGCCTCCGGGTTTCCCTATCGTGATGACCCAACCGAGCTATATTGGCTGAAACATATGTTCCTGTAGGCTCTACCATGCCAGGCAGGTCGATTGGAAGACGGTAAGACTAAATGCAGCAAATCGAAGTCTGAGGGCGAAGTCGCACTTCTGACTGTAGAGCGGTGTGACAGCAGTAAGGTGTTTCCCTTAAACAACCAGCACCTGCAGTGATGCTGCCTTCTCACAGAGAAGGAAGGGTTAGAAAAGGTCGACGCCACAAATGTCATGCCTCACCTTATCCCGCGGATTTCCGTCTCCGACGGTAAGGCCACTTGAAGAGCTGAGCTAACGCTTTAAAAAGTTAACATAAAAATGCCGTGCATGACCGGCTTCAAGCAGTTGTCCCTTGGGTTCCGCGGTCATGCTCCTAGGTCTCTAAGACCAACATTAACCCGGTTTCCTTTTCAGGTTCTTCAAGAAACACCATCGCATGATGTGAGCAGCCGGGAAGTGACAACCGTCCTCATACACCTCGTAATAAATCTCTTATCTCCACGAATAACTCTTCTCACATTCCTTTATTATCCCGTACCGATAATGCAAATGATGTAAGTTCACTAAACGTTATTCCTGAAATCCCGTTCTACACTACATGTTGGAGCCTTTAATGTACAGACATCGTATTAAATAGGACAACCTACCTGGTATGGTAGGACCTACAGGAACGTATGTTTCAGCCAATATAGCTCAGTTGGGTCATCACAATAGGGAAGCCCGAACACTACACGTTAAGGTAGCAGTTACGAAAGGCTTTTTAATAATATTCGCATCGTTATCTAAAAACGTGAATCGATATTCGTTCTAATCAGTTCTGTTTCTTCGGGTTGATGGTTGTTTTCACAGGTCATTACTAGCTTTTACTCCTTGGGTGTCAATTAATTTAGAAATTTAACTGGTTTCTACCAATCTATCAAGCAGATCATTTCTTGGTATAATTCTCTCATCCAGAGGGAGATGTAGTCTAAGCGTTTAGGAAGGAGGAAGATCAAGTCATTGAGTTGTTAACCAATAAGGATTTAGAGTTGACTCAAGGTTTCTGGTGCCGAGCCTAATTGTGATGTGATTATCAGTCAACTGTTAGGATACAAGAAAGTCCTTATTTCTTGTTTTGACTTAGTAGTGCAAGGCTTCTTTTGATGTGATGATGTAACCAAAGTTGTTTATTCTGTTTCTTCGAGCAGGTTTCACATATATTAGTCGCTTGTAGCATCGAGTCAAAATGAACAAGTGTAGGTGGGGAAGAAATATTTATTTGGTCGTCTTGAGTCAAACAGGACAGAAACGACTAACAAGACTCGCTTTAGTAACACGTCCTATTTTTTAACTGTTACGATATTCATAAAATATCCGAAAAATTACTTTGTAAGTCTAATTCTATCACTGGACGAGAAATCATATGTTTTCACATGTCACATGACGTTTTCCTATTGGTCAATATTTACGGTCGTCCTAAATTTATATGTATTGTCTGTAAAGTTTGATGATTCTGCATTTTGACACCATAGACAACTTTCATCTAACGGTATTGTGTTCTGATATATTGGAGGTATCTGAATTTGGTCAATCGGTAGAATTTAGAATAGCCACATTACGGATTGTAATATTTGGCGACGGATTAATAATAACTTAATGCGATTCCGATGCCCACAAGTTTGTGTGGTTGAAAGAGTCAGCGGCACCAACTGGCTAAATTGGTTAAGATAAAAACAATTGACCCCAATAAATTAATTCTCATTTCAATATAACACGGGATTGCAACATTGTCTTACGTAATCTCCAACAAAAGGGCAGACGGCTTAACTTTGATTTAAATTTGCTCCAGTAATTTATAAGATTAAGGAGATAAGAAATTTGCTTTTTATCTTGTATCAGCAAAACATTGTGTTAACGATTTTAACATGTTTGCACTCTGGAGTCTTCCCACCGATCATGTTTGAATGTGCACACTTGTACCTTCTAGTTTGACTTTAGTAGGGTCATACGGAGTTCCTTGGAAAGGCGAACCCTCTTTGTCCCAAGCATTAGCTAGTATGTTTTGTATTTTCTGAAATAAGTAGAGAAGAAAATAATATGGTTAAAGTTTTTATGTGCCGATTTAATTCTTATTTAAGGGATTTGTGTTTTTGATAAGGAAGTTTGTAAAGTGAGTAAAGGTACACTAGTGATTATTCTCAATGATAGTGCAGTAAACTATTAGCTTCTGTGATCCTTGAATGCACCAGAAAAGGTTAATAGAGTAGTACAAACGAAGAATGGTCGTTGAATCTCCAATAAATGATTGATTCTGGATGGTCCAACGGTGCATCTAAGTAATGATGAGCTCTGAAAAGTGGCTACACATTTGATCTCGTGAATACTTACAAAGCGAAATTGATAGATACACAAAACTGTCTCCACCGTAATACAAATCAGGAACTGAAATTCATATATACGATATTCAAGTCAATAATGATGAGAGAGTAGTAAGACAAACACTTACTTCTTGTTCACTAGTAAGTAGTCCTTGGCGTTTGCGCTGTTCGTCGTACATTAACTGTTGGATCTTAGCCTGTGCCTCATCGTCTAATTCGTGCATAGGTCGAGAGCAATCAATTTTGCGGGTGTTTATTTTGTCTTCTCCATCGAAAGCTGCTTCCCACCATCGTTCCTGAATCTTGTCTAGACAGAGATGGATCTTAATAAATAGAAATTAGAGCATTAAATTCTTATAGCAGTAATACAAAATAATATTAAAATAATCAAATGAGAAGATTGAATTATTTCGAAATAACAATGTGTTATATATGACGAGTGCTTCGAAGACATCTATGATCGAATACCAGCAACTAAGTAAAACCCTTTATCCTTAGTGGCTATGTTTCGCACCCATATAGTAGGACGCAGCGAACTGTTGCGCAGTACACTCGTACTTTGGTTTGCAAACGGATATCTCGCCTGCGCCATAAGTGACGAAAGTTGACAAAATCTAGTCGAGAATTTTGTATTCGTGCTCGTGTATCCTGGACCAACCGCGCAAGCAATGCTGTCGTTAGGAAACTTGTACTAGGTAGGGATGGCAAATCGATCAATGAAGTATTTAAACTTCATCAGTCAGTCAGTTGCAACGTAGAACTTCGTACCTAAGTACATCAGTTCATGTCGCCATACCACATCAGCACAGAGATATAATTGTCAATTCAAATCCAATAGTAGAAGAGGTAGTAAAGGTATTAGAAGTAATCGGAGAGGTTAGGATTAGAAGATATTATTCACGAAGTATGATTCAATGAGATAAGTTTAGGAAGTAAAAACTAGAGGTGTTGAAGAATCCAGAAGATTAGGATTTGAGAGAACACAAAGAATAAATGCACCAGCGCCATTGCGAACGATTTTGAGCCATGTCATTCAAGGTCTCTAACCATCGATTATTATCATCTCGCGGACCCCAACCAGGTAGTCGACAATTACCGACATGGCTAAGTCCACTCGTCAATGACTTCATGGATTTATGCCATGTTTTGGTCTGGCCGCCCCTAGCTTTCTTCCAACCTATTCCTACACTACAAAACAAAGCTCGACGAGGCAGTCGCTGGTTACGCATACGCAACACGTGTCCCAACCACCTCAACTGATGAAGTTTCACCACTTCATCGATTGATCTGCCATTCTTACCTAGTACCCGTTTCCTAATAACAGCGTTGCTCACTCGGGTGTCCCTCTATATACGAGCAATGCTTCGAAGACACCTATGATCGAAAACCAATAACCGACGAGTATCTTCTACTCTCACTGGCCATGTTTCACAGCCATAAAGAAAGACGGAGCGAACCACTGCGCAGTACACTCGTCCTTTAGTCAGCAAACGGATATCTCGCCTACGCCATAAGTGACGCAAGTTGGAAAAAGCCAATCGAGCCTTCTGTATCCGTGCTGAGATTTCGTCAGTCACCAGGCCATCAGCACTGATGAGACTCCCAAGATAAGTGAAGCGGTCTACACGTTCGACCACTTCACGCCCTATCACTAGTTTAGGTGCCGATGAAACCCAATCTTGAAGCAACATTTTGCATTTCGAGGGGGAAAACCGCATCCCGAACATGCTTGCATTGTTCCTTAGGGTAGTCAGAAGACTCTGCATTTTGTCAGCGTCTTCACCAAGTAGGACAATGTCATCGGCATATTCTAAGTCAATAAGCGAGCCACCTGGTAGAAGGTCTACTCCTGAAAATTCAGACGAGGATAAGGTAAGTTCTAGGAGCATGTCTATGATAAAATTGAACAAGAATGGAGAAAGTGGACATCCCTGACGGACACCACTTGATGTAGAGAATTCCGGTGACAGTTCGCCATAAGCCCTCACCCGACCAGTTGTGTTCGAGTAAAGAGCTTGTATAAGGTTAATGTACTTCTGTGGTACACCTTTCAATGACAGACACTGCCACAGAACCTCACGATCCACAGAATCAAATGCCGCCTTAAGGTCCAGGAAAACAGCTATTGTAGGACGCCTAAATGTGTGTCTATGTTCCAGGACCTGTCGTAGTGTAAAGATGTGGTCTATACAATCACGTCCAGGTCGAAAACCAGCCTGGTTTTCTCGAGTCTGCTCTTCACGAGCTTTCGTTAAGCGTCCAAGTATTATTGAGGCCAATATTTTAGATACTATATTAGTTAGACTTATTCCCCTGTGATTGTCACAAGAAGACTTTTGTCCTTTCTTGTAGATTGGGACAATCAGTGATTGAGACCAGTCGGATGGGATTGCGTCCAGTTCCCAGATTCTACCTAAGATCTCAGTCAACCTAGCTGCTAAAACTGGACCACCATCCTCAAATATCTCAGGGGTCAGTCTATCAGGACCTGCAGCTCGTCCTCGTTTCAGATTTCCTAACGCTTTCTCAACGTCATTAAGACTAGGGGGACTTAGGTCGATTTGCCATTCAGGATAACTGGAGATCGTGGGTAACCGAAGAGTGGCTCGTGGCCAGTTGAACTGATCCCTAAAGTGTTCTGCCCATCGATCTAGTCTCCTGGATTGAGAATGGATAATAAGACCATCCTTTTCCGAGATAGTCTCACTCACATTCGGGTTCCTAATACCGGTTTCTTTGATAAGGCGGAAAAGTTGTCTAGTGTTGCCTATCGCCGCTGCCTTTTCCATCGCTTTTGCTTTCGCCACCCACCACTGTTCACGGTCGTTACGTAGGCTTTTTATAAGTCTGCGCCTAAGTTGACTTCGTTCTTCATCATGTTCAGAGCCAGGTGGGATGAGTTTTCGGGCATCCATCAGATCGGTGGATGCTACTGAGATCCACGGTTTCATTCTAGCCTTATGGTCAACCTTACTAGCAGATATCACTGCTGTTTCCACAGCCTTTTTGATATCATTCCATCCTGCTTCCGGATGGGAATCGCTTAAATGGTCGCCTAACTGTCTTTCTAGTTGTTCCTGTAATATATTCTTCGCCTTATTATCATTAAGTAAAACCCTAAGAGGCTTTCTTACGGTGTCTTTCCTACGCCCAGTAAGCTTCAAACAAATGCGCGCTCGCACTAGGGCATGATCTGAATCTAGACATGTGCTCCAGAACGAGCGACAGTCCTCTATCGAACCCCTCCATCGGTGGCTGATGGCGGTGTGATCTAGTTGAGTTCAACGTTGAGACGACTTTGGAGGTCGCCAGGTCAACAGATGCTTTTCCTTATGCCTAAAGTTAGTGTTTGCTAAGAATAGGCGGTTGTCTGAGCATGCTTGCAACAGACGGTCACCATTGTCTGTTCTCTGAGCCGCGACACCATAACATCCACCTAGGTGTCTCTCCTGCTCACTTAGTCTACCTACTTGAGCATTAAAGTCACCAGCCATTATTACTATATCAGAGCGCCTAACTTTTTGGAGGAGGTCCGAAAGCTTTCTGTAAAACTCATCTTTTACATCATCTGAACTGCATTCAGTGGGGGCATAGGCAGATACGATGAAGAGGCAACGGCGACTGTCACTATCTTTCCGAGTCCTGACTGTCCCGTTTAGTCGGACAGCGCACAATCGACTATCTATTGGGATCCAGTCAAGGAGAGATTGTTCTGCCCTACGACTCAATGCTATGCCTACGCCAGCTAGACCCCGGGAAGCAGCATCAGGGCTACCGGATACACGAAGAGTAAATCGAGCTGCTTCTTTATTTTGACATGGTGCGGCCAAGTGTATGACGTGACTCGGATCCTGTATGCGCGTTTCCGAGACGCAGCATACATCGATGGCACGAGATTCTAAAGTCCTAGCTAATGACGCCTGTTGCCCTATTTGACACAATGTCCGTACATTAAAAGCTCCAACATGTAGTCTAGAACGGGGTTTCAAGAGACCGGGAACGACGTTTCGTGATCTCGCTTCGTCTGCATTGGCGAGCAGTGAGAAAAGGGAGTGTGAGTAGAGTTAGTCGAAGAGATAAGAGACATTAGGGGGTGTAGGAAGGATTTGATTTTACCAATTCGGTCTCGCGTGCTGTTACGGGTATGAGGGCGGTTGTCACTTCCCGGCTGCCCACACCGTGGAAGGTTGTTTCTTGAGGGACCTGAAAAGGAAGATGGATTAGTGTTGGTGCGTGACCGCAGAACCCAAGGAACAACTGCTAGAGGCCGGTCACGCACGGCCTTTTTATGAAAGGTATTTAGAGGATTAGCTCCGTTCTTAAAGGCCCTTAGTGGGCACCCTTACCCAGGGAGACGGAAATCCGTGAGTTAGGGGAGGTGTGACATTTCTAGGGCCGACCTTTTCTAACCCTTCCTTCCTTGTGAGAAGGCAGCATCACTGCAGATGCTGGTTATCCGAAGGAAACACCTTACTGCTGTCACACCCCTCTGCAGTCAGCAGTACGACTTCGCCCTCAGACCTTGGGTAGCTGCTTTTAGTCTCATCGTTCTCCAATCGACCTGTCTGGCATGGTAGGACCTGCAGGAACATATGTTCCAGCCAGTATAGCTCGGTTGGGTCATCACGATAGGCAAGCCCGACAACCACGTCAAGGTAGCAGCTACGGTCGGTTGAATGGTTGGGACATGTGTTACGAATGCCCGACCACCGACTGCCTCAACGAGCTATGTTTTGTGGTTAGAAGTAGGTTGGGAGAAAGCTAGGGGCGGCCAGACCAAAACATGGCACAAATCCATGAAGTCACTGACAAGTGGACTGAGTCATGTTGGTAGATGTAGACTATCTGGTTGGGGTCCACGAGACGAAAGTAACCGATGGTTAGAGACCTTGAATGACGTCTAGAAATCGTTTGGAGTGGCGCAGATGCATCCACTCTTTATGTTCTTACAAATCCTAGTCTTCTGGATTCGTCAACAACATCTTCCTCTTTCTAAATTTATCTCGCTGAATTATACTTCTTGAATATTATCTCCAAATTCTAATATCCATTAGTAGTAATTCTTCTACTATTTCTACCACTATGGAATTCGAATTGACCATTCCATCTGTCTGTGCTAATGTGGTATGGCAGCTTGAACTGATGTACGTAGTTCTACGTTGTAGCTAACTTACATACTGTTTAAAATATTTTAAATCTTCATTTCTTATTTAAATTCCCGTTGAATTTGGAGTTAACTTCTAAGCGCTGCTTCTCAGTTTGTTGAATTTCTCATTATTACGACAACTTGAACTGGTAAATAATTTTGCTAATTGTGTTGGCTACAATGAATCGACTAGCACGTACATAGTAGCATAAAAAATACACATGGATCACACAAGATAGCTTTCTGGTACAAAATGTGCAAACACTAGCAAATACATCAATAAACGTATGAGCAATATGGTCATTTTAATATAAATTTATATTAGAACCACTGGCAACATCAAGTCCCACGAACATGAAAGTAGAATTTATCAGTATCAAATTGGTGACTAACTTGATTTTCCTTAGAGTGGAAAGTCCACATAGCATCATTCTTGTGAATGTCCCAACACAAACCTCGATCGAAATAAACTGTTTCTCTCCCATTCTGACGAACTGAAACGCGAATACGTTTACGTTCAATGTTTACAGACACGTCGCGAGCATTTACTACGTTTTCCGGTACCTGTACATGATAAAGTTACTTAAAATAGATGCATAGAAACCTTAATTTTAATATCGATATCTTTGATAGTTTGGCTCCAGGTGTAATTATCTCCAGATGCACCATTGTAACAATCGGGATCTGCTTGATAGACTTTTGATTCATCATTTCTAATTATTGGAAATCAACTCTATGTACAAACATACTCTTCACTTCTGGATGTTACGTTTGTATTATTTGATGGATTTCCAGATGCCTTTTTATTATCGTCCGAAGGCGAAACAGTGACATTTGATTCTTTCGGCTCTTCTTTGTTGTTTAGTGGAGGGAGCTTGCTGGTTGATTGATTGGCGTCTGCCTGACGATGACGTTGGTAACTTTCAAATATCGCTTTATGTTTCTCATAAGCCTGGAAAATATTTCGGTATTACAACACACCTTAAGAATCATCTCAATGCTCACACCAGGTGGGAAACCTATATTTTTCTTTTCAGGTGTCATGATGTAGTAAAAGTCGGTCCTGAAGATAATTAGGCTACTGCGTTACAGTCAATACCTGCGCATTAAGAACCCGAATATCACGTCTAAAAACTTTTCTAACTTTCCTTCATTCTGCAGAATACCCAGTAGCGCGTTATCGTACTGAATGTTAATGTTAGTCATTATAAACGTAATGGACTACAAAAGAAATAAATATCATGAAGATACATTGTTATAAAAACTGAGTTAAGGGAAGGTCAAACCCAATTAAAACGATCTGATGAATCACCAACGCGTTTATCAAAACTAACCAAAGTTTATGGATCTGTATCGAGGTTTTTTTTAGACACTACACCACAATGGAAAATCAGACTTCCATGCAATAAAGTCTACTTATCGAACTATTTCATTCTTCGCCATTAGTTTAGGCATTGCGAAACATCAGTTTTAAAGCGGAATTGAGCATATGGAGGTAGTTAGGCACATTCTGACATTGTATGCATAGTTACGGTATTTAGAAGATTTGGCATTGTTACTTTTTATCGAACAGAGGTATTGGGTGCGTATAAAAGCAGATGACTCTTTCAGAAAAACGATTTACAAAAATGTAGGCGAGAACGACATCCAAAGCCATGTTTATGAGGATGATGAGCAAAGATGACGACGGTCCCATGAAAGGATATGCTGAGGTTCGCAATACGAAAACCAGAGCTTCTAATATGTTGAAGGCTACAGCTATGTTAGAGTCTAATCATCAATCAGTCAAAGTATGAACTACTTTAGTTTACCATACCTAACGAAGTCCAGGATCTCTACTTGAGGTCCCTCCAGGAAGTTTATAAATGAACGCCAGTAAATTGTACTTGCAGTAATTGTGAAAGCTGACTAAAATTACAGTGTAGCTCAAATATCGTCGTTTATGAAATAAGATGAATCCTGTGAGATTTCTGACCGGAATATTCAAAACCTTTTCTAGACAAAGAGATCTGTAAACGTATTCAAATACATCAAGTGAAAAAACAGAGTATCTTAACCTGGTATAGATAAAGAAAACAGAGAAACACCTACCCCAAAAAACGAAGTAAAACAGACCAACCTAGACAACGGACAAAGCTTTTAAAATTCGCGCGGGTGAGATTGAACCATCCAATATCTTTTTCTTTAGTTAGTGAGAACTAACTGATTGCCTTGAATTTGCTTACCGTCGTTTCAGTACAATTGCAGGTATTTGATAATGTCTAAAGGATGTTAGACTATTCCATTAATTCTCGTAAGTTGCAGTTCATTAATTTGTATGTTCCGTAGTTTGAATGCTTTTGTCTCAGAGTAGTATGGTTTCTGGATACTAGTAACTATCACAGCCGTCAGTTTGCTGAAGTGTGGAGAATAGCAATGATAGCAAGAATAAGTTGGCAATCTGAGAAAATAATAATAACTTGCAAGTTTCAAGAAAAGCATCAGGAACAGCTGGTCCGGAAATGAAATGAAGATCTGCCCGTGAATATATGCTTACCAAGTCTCTTCTTGAAGCTATCCACTGAAAAGTTGCTGTGGTCAGTTTCTCTGGGATGGCATTCTAAGTTACATTAATCTTACTTAGAGAAAATTTGCATAAATATGTGTGCTAGTTCTTTGATGTGTAATTATTTGATGGTTACCTCAAGGAGGGTGGTGGCACTGTTTTGAGAAACCACCAACTTTTGAGATGATTTGGAATATTTAATATGTTGTGCTCCACTATCATATCGCCTCTGATTGCCTTGTAACTTGCAGAGAACAATCCTAATTTCTGAGGTCTGTCTTTGCAAGGTTTATACAATATTCCTGTCACCCAATTAATTGAACGTCTTTGTATCTATCCGGGAGATTTATGTCTCTTTTAAGGAAAGTACGCCGGTGTGGCTCTTCTGTAACCTTTAAAGAGAGTTATGAATAATTTTTATTTGGTTGCTCCAAGTTGTCTTCGCATAAACTGAAGAGTTGCACTAGTATTGGCTGCACTCCCTACTTATTTTGGAGTGATGTTCAGGTTACCTTTGGTTATTAGCGCTTTGATGCGATAGTGATGAGCGGAATTTCCCTGAAGACGTAAATTTTGATGTGAAACTGAACGGGTTATTTTGAAACCGTTTTCCACTGTCCATTCATCTATTGTCGTACGGTCCTTTTCAAGCTTAGCCAAGTCCTCTAAGCGAGTAGTAAGTCAGATATTCCGTTGGCCATTAACCGGCACTCGGTTCAAGCAGTGCTGTGAATTTTTAGGTATCTGATATAACTGGTCGATGAAGTTGTTAATAAAGAACTAATTCCTCTCTATGTCGGTAAGATCTTCGCCTTTTGGACCTTTGGGAGTAAAAACACTCAGGTTTGTAGGTCTTCGTTTAGTTACCAAATGAAATAAGTATTTTTAAATTCCCTGTGTTTTGGTAGTTGGTATGCGTGCAAGTGTCTTTGGTCGCCCCGAATCTGTTTATCAATGCCAAATACGAACTACGGTTTCAATCCTCAAGGGGGACCTTCCACTAGTGCCATGCTATCATTTTCACCTGTAGCTAATGTTCGACCCATTTTCTTCTGCTTAAGGGTGTATGATTTGCCTGAGGAAGATTGTATAGGACAGCATTCTAGACGATGTCTCTCACTGTTTGCCAGTGATTATGGCCGTTAGCTCTCACCATCCCCGAGGCTATAGGGCGTGCAGAAGAGGCTCTCTCACGGTAGTATAGATTGCCATACTTATGCAAATGTGGCAGGTGTGTCTATCCCTCATGAGTATTTTGTTTATGATCATGCTAAGCATGACTGTCATGGTCACAACTTCCTATTAGTATACAGACATGGACATCCTAGACTAGGTGCTGATCAGTTCTTAATTAACTAATCCAAGTTTCAGGGTTTTTTTCCTAACTCCATCTAGACACTGATATTTAAGAATGAATCTTATTATTAGAAGTAGCGTTACACTAGCTGAACCAATATAGAACTTCTAATTGCTATGAAAAGTTGTTTTTGGAATCAACCCATGGGAGTTTTACTGTGATTGCCGAGAATGAGGGGGGAGTGTTGGAATCAGTGATCGAGTGTGTTTGGTTAAACCCCAGGGGTAGCACTTGAAATATTGCCATAATCAACATCTTTTTCATGGTATAGTAACAGAGGGAGGCTGGCAAAAGCCCCCAGTAAAGTGCTTCGGTGCCATTCCTGCTTAAGCAATACCAAAACGACATTCACATTAGTTATTTTTGTATTGTACAGTGTTACTGTTTTAAGCTGGCTGTTAATAAATATCGTCACTCCACCTCCTGTATTTTGTCTTTTCACATCATTATCCCGTAATAGTTGTTCCTTGGACTATGTGTCTAAAATATACGATTTAGTTCTCAGATCCAGTAATGCATAAATACTTTTCTCAAACATTCAGCTACTTGATATAAGTGTGAACCATATTTTGGAGAGATTTGGAGAAAAACAATAATAATGGACTCCCTCAGGTTGAAGAATTAAATTTAGACAATTTTGTCGTATGTCATTTTACTTTAAGACTCAAAATTCATAAAATCAGACTCAAAAAGCAATGATACAGAAGAGACAACTAAAGGGAAGAGGTAGAGAATGACTAGCAAATCTTCGGCCTAAATGAGAACCGGTCAACGGATGCTGTTCAGAGTAATATTGTTGGATTTGAAGATGAAAGTACCAAGCATGAATCCTTTCGAAAGTACAAAAATGGACCTTTTCATTGCGTGAATACGATTCGAATAATGATTAGGAATACTCCCGTTTTCAACACGTTTAGGCATATGGATAGGAGCATTTAGGTACGGTCTGTCTATACTATCATGATAATGATGGCCAAGCCATCCGGAAAAGAATGCTAAAGTTTCCCGACTGTTGTTTACCTAGTGTCTTGAGATTCCACCGAAAAATGATTCAGATTTATCTACCGCTGTACTAACGGGTGTTTTGATGTCAAAGTGTATCAGTACAGCTGATTTTATAATACTTACCTTCACGATGGACGAAGCGTGTTATTTAACGTTATTTAATGCATGTGTAAATGCCATCAGATAGGTAGTGTATATTGAAATTAGTAAGGTCAGCGTCAATGGCAAAGATTTGCAAATTATTTATTGTGGCGATATTTTTATCTTTACCATTACTGGTGGTTCAAAGCACCAATATCAAGAGAAATATTTAACTCCTGAGTTGCTTTTATTATTGCAATTCTATTTTGCTCACTCAACTCTTTGACGCTAAGTTGTTTATTTCTACAACCCTAGTCTGGAGCACTTCTTGGTTGAATGCTCGTCCCAAGTAAGGATATAGGAGGAAGGTGATGCACTGCGCAGGTAACTCCGTCCCCTACAAAAGCAACATGATTATTACACGCTAATATGGAAGAGTCTTTCAAACCTTGTAAAAAATGCCCTGGGGGTCGTAAAGCCTGCATTTAGAAGATTTTCCATGCCTCATGGGAGAAGCCAATTCTTTTCGAAAGTTACCAATCCGATGCCTCTGCTGACAATCACACAGTGCAGAAAACATGAAGAACAATTTAAGTTGCTGCAGAAATGAAAAGATGAAGTCTGATGGTGCTTAGAATCAGTGAAACACATTGGACGCAAGCATGACAACTAACATTAGCTTTAGGAAGATGCTGTTATACTCTGGCCACGAAGAAGAAAATGCCTTACACATGCAAGGAGTCAAAGTGATGTTGTTCAAAAAAGCCTGTAAATTTTCTTATGTATCGGAATCTCATGCACTCTGAATCATCAAAGCATCGTCGGAACGAGGAAAAAGGGTATTACAATGAACGTCATCCAATGTGATGCATCCATCAATGATAACATGGATTAATCATATGAACAACCCATGAAAAGACCTGAACATTCTGATCGGAGACCTACTTGCCAAGGTTGGAATGGACAATACTAGATGTGAAGACATCATGAGACGAAATGGGCTAGGCTCCTATGCAAACCGTAAGAGATTCGCAAATCTATGTGCCTTCAACAAAATGGTCATAGGTGGCATCATATTCCTAAACACACTCATGAAAAACTTCACACGAATTTCTTTCAGTCACACTACACAAAACCATATCGATCACATTCGCATCAACAAAACGTTCAGGCCGATGGAAGATGTGAGAACCAATATTGGAGCTGACATAGCTCTAGATCAATACTCGGTAGTAACCAAGGTGAAACTGAAGTTAAAGAACAACTGAACAACTGGTCGAACAGCATTAAAAAAGTTTGATACTACCTTGTTTCCAGATACTAGTAAACTCAGAGAATTCAGGTTAGCTCTCAGCAATAGTAAGTTCCAGGCATTCAACAACCATGACGAATAACTGGAAAGGGATCAATGAACCAATAATTTCAGAATGTCATGAGGTTTTGGCCCACAAGAACCACCATCACAATGAATCTGTTTCCATTGATAATCTGCATAAGATTCGAGAAGTGAAGAACAGGAAGATGGCAATCAATATTGGCCGAACAAAAGCAGGGAAAGCCAAGGTACAAGTCGAAATCACAGAGACAAACAAGCAAGTGAAGAAAGGAGTCAGAGCTGACAAACGTATATATGTGTAAAATCTAGCCATGACAACATAAAAACCTGCAAGACGAGGTAATGTGAGATGGCAACACAATATGACGAAGAAGCTTGCTGGAAAATATATTAGATCAGAACAAAGAATGTAAGGCAGTTACCGACATTGGTGAACAGCGGAACGGATGAATAGAGCACTTTGAAGAACACTTCTATGGACCGGTCCAACTGAATGTACCCAAAATCGAAGCAGCACCTACAGACCGCCTAATTAATGTTGACCAACCAACAATTGAAGAGATCAGAACGGCCATCAGACAAATGCAGGGTGGCAAAGCAGCGGGACCAGACAACATTCCTGCTGAGGCACTGAGTGGATTATGAAGCAGTAAACATCTCAGGAAATGTAAGCAATTTAGTGAAGATCTCGAATATAACTTCAAGATATTAGCTACTCAGAGCACGCATAGCAGCAGTAGTTCTCAATGTGCACAAAGAAAAAAGCAATATTCGCCGACACAACACAACATGCACCAACCTAATCACACTTCACGGGGAAGCTTTGGAGAATGTAGAAAAGTTAGTTAACTAAATAATCCATCTTCAAAAAGATACAGGTGTTTATTACCAGTTACTTATGAAAGATACTGTGGGTACCTTGACCAGACATCAACAGTAAGAACCTGCTGTGGCAGAAAACAAACGGGAAAAAGTTGGGTAAAAGTTCTGAAGATGGATAGGATAAGTACTGGGGAAACCACTCAACTTCACTAAGAGGTAAGCGCTCACTTTGAATTCTCGTGGAGAAGGGAAAAGAAGTATACAAAACAACACACTGCCCTGCGATTCGGAGACAAATATGAGAAGAATGAATAGCAGTTAGGAATCATTGGAAAGGATGGTCCAGGACATAGCTTGCTGGAGACTGCTGGTTGCCGGCTTGTCATCCATTAGGTGAAACAGGCGAAAGTAAATAAGTGATTAAGTAAGATGTTGTGGCAGAGAACAAACGAGATCCCAGCTGAAGAAGAAATTTGGAAAAAGTGCTAGAGGCGGATGGGACACATTATGGAGTTCACCGGAATTCATTAAGAAGCAAGCTCTTACTTGGAATTCTTGGGCCGAAATGAAAAGAAGTATGCTGAAGAACTAACTGCCCCGATATTCTTAGACAAATATGAGGCGAATGAATAGAGATTGTGAAGCACTGGGAAGGAAGGCCCAGGGCAGAGTTGGTGGGACCATTCTGGCTGATGGGTTATTTTCAGTCAACGGTGTAATGGGACGAGTCGCAGTTCACTATGATCAACACTACAGGTCAGGTTTGTGCCAGTTAAAAGGTTAAATACCTCCGTAGAACTGTAATTAGAAGGAAAGTTGAAGATAGTGACTAATATATATATTTTCTGGCGATCTCGTGGTATCGAAATAATACTGAGATCGTGCCAAAATGTACCGTCGAGACTACCGTGCATGTGTGAGCGAGGTCAAGGTCACAGAGAACGGAAATTTGGGGATTTTGTTGCAGATCAACAAAAATATACAGTGAAACAATCACTGGTATAATTGGTTAAATAATAAGTGTTACCATTAAATCAATAGAGTTCTCTTCAAAAAAGTAGATCTTTACTGGGGTAACAAGCGTAAATACGTCAGTTTATTTGTACTGTACATTCTAGTTTATTTCCGTGCTTGAATATTTATCAAGAAACATAAATAAAACAGACTGTTTCTAATAATTTGATGACCATATTTTGTGACTGTTATTCAGTTATTATGGCATCTCATGGTGCCGAAAACCCGTATATTGTTGATAATTAATCGATAGATGGAAAGCCTTTAGTGATGATCGAATCGGGATTGACTATGATCACTACTAAATACTAATTACGAGCCCGTAACTGAAAAGATAAATAAATCCAGGGTACATAATATATTTGCTGGCGATTTCGTAGTGTTGAAAGAACACTGAAATAAAACCAGGAAAGTGGGCGAAATTAAAGAACAGCATGCAACAAATAATGGAAGCAACGCAAACAGAAAGTTGCGCATAAAGCGGATGTTATAAACAAAAAGTACAGTTAAACAAACACTGGTAGAGTTGGTTATAATAATGAATGTTTTGATTAAACCAGTCGCGTTCTCTTCATAAATGTGGATCCACTACAGCAGCCCCCCTAGAAAGAGTTTGCACTGCGGACGTAGGACGGAAGAAGATTGAGCGAATGAACCGGAAACGACCATAAGGACCAGGTTCGAAACTATACGTATGCCTGACATACTCGAAACCAACTTATCGACTAAGTTCATTTAAAAGAGCGTGGTTTGATCAGGCTGGCTTTTGCCAAGATTGAATGAATTCGACGACATCAGAAGGGCGATGGTCGTAGACGCGGGCTCAGGATTAGAAAAATCGAAGAAAAAGGTGAAGGTGTAACATGCATGTAATATGAGGATAAAGTCCCATACCGTATCCGTTGTTGGTTGGAGGATTAGTTGCGAGAGCGTGCAGGGAGGCGTATGCGGCGACCGGAACGTAAGACAGTAGTCTCGTATGAAACTGGTGAGCCGTCAATCTCATCCGAAGTCAAGGGCGGCGTGGTCTTCTGATCTGGACATGAGCCCGGAGTCTCATCCGTAGATAGGGCAGATGACGCGTGCTGTTGACTGGGACGTGAGAATGAGGTCTCTGATACATCTAGCGTGGGATCCGAAGGAGAAATAAGGATCCTGCTAGTGAGTTGAATGACTCCAGTCATTGACGTGCGCTGGTTTGAGACAATCAATGCTGACTGTGTCCATCAACCCCGAAGGTCTTTTCGTGACGAGAGATCACATGAATAGATCCTTCATAAGGCTGTTGTTAAGGTTTGCGTACCGAATCCATTGGTATGAAAACATGTGGACAGATAAGTAGCGCTGGAGAGGGAGCGACCTGTCGATAATATATTAAGAACTGACACCGGAGGCAGTGTTCACATGTACGCAGATAGTCATCGGACGTTATCTGATATACATAAAATCGCTGCTCCGTGGTGTGAAAAATTTCCCGGGTAGATGCAATGTCGTGCCGTAAACAAGTTCATGGACGGAACATTGAATATCTGCCGTTGGTGCTCTGTAATCGCCGTGTGGTCTCCAACTAATGCCATCTTTTTGCTAACCGAGTGGAGAGAGGAGTCTTAGGACTGTGAGCGTTAAAACACATGGATTTGATATTGGACGAAGTATCGATTAACTTCAGCCTACTTGAATCGAATAGTAATTCATAGCTTTCTTTAATACATCTGGCCTTAAAACTTCAGAATCAGATGCATCAGGTAAAAGAAAAACGACAGTTGACCCAGCTGTCAAGTTATCTACGTATTAACCAAAAGACTATTTTTATTAATTATCAATTGATACATAGATACATATTTTTGGTATGACTCTTAATACAGGTTACTCTTTGAATCAAAAACGCATGTTTAAAGCTTACCTACTTACGGACGTCTGCTCCCCTAATGGAACATAGGTGGCCGACCAGGGAATTATTTCTCTGTTTAGCGTTTTCTTGGCGAGTTGGATTTCTACGAGACGGGGTAGCTAACCCCATGCCCAACCCTCCTCCTTTATCCAGGCTTGGGACCAGCAGTGACCCTAGAAAGGCTCCAGACAGAGTTATGTTTAAATCTACTCCGTTTTACATAACTTTTTATGTTGTTTGTACTAGAGATATAAACACCAGAAATAAAATCATTCATTTTATTGCTCAAATGATATTTATTCGCTTCTAATGAAAGTAAAATCTGTTTACCACATAAGTAGTAGGAAAAAGGATGGAGTTTATATTTTAAATGAACTGGATTTCTTGCACATGAAACGAATATCGTTCGTCTAAATGCAATACTAATGTGAATGGGGTAATTGATTAGAAAACCAAAAATATCTTGGCTTTGAAAATAATGGAATACCGAAGTTAGCTCAATTGAGAAGCAGTCCATGGAAAACTAGATATTTTATGTATGTATGTCACTGATTATTTAATGCAATACCTATATCCACCTATCTACGTATTATATTTATATATACTTTCAGTTAACTCTTGTAATGCATAGTAGATAGGAGTTTGTATGCTTGCGATTTCCCATCGGATCCCGGTTCACAAAAATTGATTCGCGTATAATTTCTGAAGAAATGTAACAAATTAAAGAGGCTATTTCTGGTAAATCGTTTATTTCTGTAATTACAATTATTTACAGTCTGTAGTTATTTACATCAATTAGTAGATCTTTGGATATTTTGATTCAAATCATGAATACAATCAGTAATTTAAGTGCTAAAATCAAGCCAAACATTGAACTTATTGAAAACACTCTCGTTTAAGTTCACGAAATTTGTAATATACTGAACTGAATTTGTAATAAATTTCATGTTCTACAAATAGGAAAACAGAACAAACAGCAAAACGGTAAAAAAAATGAATTATTTGAGAAAGTACTGCTAAAAATGTGATTGAATGCAATCCCTAATATCAACAAAAGGAGGATTCAAACCATTATAAATTAAATAAAACCCATACCCATTGGAAAGCTGGTAGCAATCTGGATTTCCAGCTCAGCAGGTGTGTTAGACATGTGCAGCGGGAGGAAATCAGTTTCAGTTTCAGTGTGAGAATCGGCACTAGGATGCAGCGGCATTAATGAAAGGAAACGTTTACTTCGGAACTTATTTAGTTGCTTAAGCCTGCTACGCCTCTTTGGAAGTACGACATTGTGCAAAGAACTCCAACCAAGTCCACCATGACCTGTTCTTCCTGGCAGTTAAAGTATCCATCCCCAGTTTTTTTATGAGTACCAACAGTTTTTTGATGATGGTGCTCGTAGTCATACAAGTTTTAGCTCCGTTCAGTAAGACTGTTTCGACGTATGTACTTAATCAGTTACCTTTAAATGCACTTCTGAATTTCGCATCATTAAGCTAGATTCTCCAGGCAGCAACGATCATCATAAGACAGCAAAGACGTTCTCGGACTTAAAGCATGACCACACTTCAGACATGTGTTCAAAGATCGGTAGTCTTCTATGAAATCTCTTTAACGATGTCTGGTACGATCTATTTATTTCCTCTGTCGAGCTAATGTTTGAATCGCCGTGTCAGTCAGTCAATTTTGTTTCTAAGTTCGAAAGTCGGCCCCTGCTAAGAAATAAAGGTTGTGTGAATATAAGTGCATCAGGTAATCACTGTTATCTGTTCGTTGTGATGGTGTCCACCAGTGTCTTTTATCAGGGTCAAGCCCACCAATTCGGGTGGCAAAATTATCAGCTTACTCCTTCTCCTTCAGTTCTTAGGATAGGATGCTATGCGGACATTTTATTTTGGCTTCCTTGTTTGATTCGATGAACTTTGTTGATTTCTGTTGTGGGTGAGTTGTGAGTTGTCTGTGTTCTATTAGTTCGATTTTTGTTTCAGTCAGTAGCAGCACTCCAAAGTGCTCTGCTTACCTCTTCTTCCACTTTTTATTATCTCGAAGTAAGCCTGTATCACACTTTTCAGTGATGCTGATCGATTAGTTTAATGATGTTTTAGCTTCAATTTCAGCTGTGCCACTAGCAGATGGTGGTCTGAATCAATGTCACATCTCATTGTTCTTACATTCGTAATGGCCCTGATTCATGTTTTGTTCTTGAATTTGTTATCGGTCTGGTTTTCTGTAGTGTAGTCTTGTGAAACTTGAACAGATTTGTGTGAGTAAATGGCGCACTCGAATCTACTAATGTCTAGTTATTCTTGTCCTTTCTCCCAGTCGGTGTTACCATAAGATGAATTCATACACAGTGTTATTCATTCCAATCAAAATGGTTAAGTGTTTTCAAGATCATTTCTTTAAAATAGATTTCAGTATTTCAAAAAACTGACCTTTATAGTCCGCAATGACATCGTTTATGGGTGCTTAGCACCGGATAATAGTCCTCATAATCTCCCCTTTTGCTTATTTCCAAACAACTTTAAGTTATTTCTAAACTATTTGTCTCTAATCACATAGCCAAGAGCCTATTAAAACGTTTTATAATTCATGCTATAATTTTTATATAACATCGACTATAAAAAAATTAATGTGCATTCTTACATCTAAACTGTGTGTCTTTCCTATACTCAGTTAGAAATTAGAATCATATCCTTGGGATAGATATTATACAGTAAGACGACAATTTGTAACGAGGGCTTGTTTGGAAATTCTATAGTGGTAGATATTTCTTTAGACTTTAATGGTAAGATCTATCATTGACCCCTTTCAAAGCAGGATGAAACCAACTACCTTGTCAAATGTTACAACAAGTGATTTAAATACGCATATGTCCTTTACGAGATACTTCATTAATGATCTACTCATACTTACGCTCAAGTATTACATCCGACTGGTCGATGTTACTGGTAGATACAGGTCTTGGAAAATATTTATCTTCCGGTTTTATATGATGGTTAACATGGATAATTTTCGGCTGCTTATTAATTGTAGAGTAATTACGTCTTCGTAATTCTGCGTAACTTAACCAACTAACCGGACATCTTTGAGGTTCTGAACCAGCACTTAATTGAACATTCCATTCACAGGGAATTTCATACAGAAGATCTTTATATTTGAACACGACCATATTCATTACATCCTAAAATATAAATAGGAAGAATCAAAGTAGTTAAGGTATTGTAAAAAATTTATAATCATGTGAGTAATAAAGTTATTTGATTATGTCACACGGATTTGCTGACTATTAACCGAAAAAGCATGGTATCATTGGTACTAGTAAACAAAAAGTGATCAAATTTCTATCGATAAGTTTCGAAAATTTACTGAATATAAGTAGTTATGTAGTAAGAAATTGTTTTTGCCAGTATAACACATGAATTTAAATATTCATATTTAAGGACTGAAACAATAGTACTGAAATAATCTATTACCAACAAATTTTCATCAATAAATACTAGGATATTTCCATTACATTGTTAATTTAGAGTATATATATGAAGCAGCTGAAACTAAAACATTCACTCGATCTGTAAGACGTAATTCCAAAACTGGTCTGGGCCAATAGTTTCTTTAATATGATTTATTTATTCCTATAACAGTTCGTAAGTAGAATTACTGAAAGCAGTATTCATTGGAGAGTCAATTAAATTGCTAGTTATAGGAACGAATTTATATAAAAACTTTGACATTGAGCCTAATCTCGGGCTTCGTTATTGTCAACGATTTATCATTTCTAAAGTTGTACTGAGTTTGCAACGTCGAAATCTTTATTAGTATTGAAATTAAACTCCTTAAGAGATTTCAATGAACTTGCATCTTTGTGGCATAGTGTTCTATTCCCAGGTTCACGACTTACTAAAGAATCAGTCAGTCAGGTACTACTTAGAACTTTGTATATACGTACATCAGTTCAAGTTTTCATACCAAATTAGCACACAGAGACCAAATTGTCTATTCAAATCCCATAGTAGTAGAGGTAGTAGAAGTATTAGCAGTAATCAAAAAGATCAGTGACCGATGACAACATTGGAGGTGTATATACCAGAGGAATGAATTTTAAAAAGAGAAAAAGAGACAAAAGGCGGTCATGGGGAATTCAGTAGATTCGAATTTGAGGGATGACAAAGAATAGGTGAATCTGCGCCGTTTCAAACGATCTGGAGCCACTAACCATCGATTAATATAATATCGCGGACCCCAAACAGGTAGTCTACACCTTCCAACACAGTTCAGTACACTTGTCAATGACTTCATAGATCTGTATCAGGTTTTGGTCTGGCAGCCCCTAGCTTTCTTCTAGCCTACCGCCACACCAGGCATCGTCGCTCGCTGAGGCAGTCGTTGGTTGGGCATTCGTAATACATGTCCCAACAACTTCAACTGATGGAGTTTCAATACTTCATCTACTGGTGTGCCATCCCAACCTAGTAACTGTATTCTAACAACAACATTTCTTACTCGGTCGTTCCAGGATACACCGGCAATGCTTTGAAGACACCCATGATCGAATACTAGTAACGCACGAATATCCTCCATTCTTAGTGTTCACCTTTCACAGCCATATAGTATGACAAAGCGAACTGTCGCGCCATAGACTCGTCCTTTAATTAGCAGACGGATATCTCGCCTACGCCATAAGTGATGTAAGTTGGCAGAAGTTAATCGAGCCTTCCGTATCCATGCGCTTACTGAAGAAATTGGTCTCAATAATGCCATACCAATGTTTGTTCGAAAGATTAGTGACATTTAGGGCTGCATGAAGCGTAATCACAGTCAACGAAAAATCGCCCATTAGTTGCATGCATTCTCCAACAATCAATTTCAGTTCATTCGTCATCATCAAACTTTCTAATTTTTATGTTGTAAAAGATTAAGCAGAAAAAAGAGTTCGTAACGAAATCTCCAGAAAGTTTAAAGAAATATCTAATAATAATATTATTTGGTCTCTTTACAGTAAACTCTTTCTTCACAGACAAGCATATGTATGTAAAGCTCGAAAACGTATTACCAATCGGGTTTTATTATTGACCAAAAAGGACTATATGATGTAAAATATACTGAATTGAAAATTAGTGCAGTCGTATATATGATAGTTAACAACTATTGACCTACATAACAATAATAAACAAATATCATCAGTTGGATATGTGTAATGTGTTCCAACTTTCTGTCAGTCAGTGTTTCAACTTACTTGCTCTCCTGTGATTAGGTATCCTTTACTTCGCATCAAGTGTGCGGTTATGCTTAACCATATCTCGTTCCACATTATTGAACGTAATTTTGAGAGATCGAATAATAAAATTCCACCATTATATCCGTAACCCTAAAATGAAAATTTAAACGTGATTTCTTACAATTGGCTTTGTTAGAATTAAGTTAATTGTTCATTTGTTGATTTATCAGTTTTTAAAATTTATATTTGTCGTAGTATGGTGTATCTGAATAGATAAACTAGATGACTGATATTAACGTAGTATAGCTTAATTTGACAATGTATAGTTTAAGAATGATTGTTGTTTGATTACTTAGGAAAATGATTATTTTAATAAGATTCGCTCTTAATGATATTCAGAACATCAGGTGTTTTATTTATCGAACTTTTGAAATATATTAGCCATTTGATATGTTGTAATGGCAATATGTATTTTTAGATGTCTAGTGCCAAAAAACAATTTAAATGGAGAGTTACTTGCAAAAACTTCTGCTTCATATTTTTTTAGCCATAAACCAGTATGAAATAATTTTAAAAGTTATTACGGAATAGTACTGACAAAATGTACAAGTTAACAAATAAATAAGTCTCAATTTCAAATGATAAAACCAGTGTGAAATAGGAGTTGGTGTTTTTAAGTGCATAACATTACGCCTACAAATGAACGACGTTGTGCCATTCAAGTTGTAAAGAACAGTTTCTTTACGTATATACATATATAAATATATATCTATAAACATAGAAAATCACCATTTCATGCATGATTTGGAGGACATCATTCATAAAATAATCACGATGTTCATTTAATTATGATGTTAAAACGTGTTTCACGTAAGATGAAAATTGATTGGATAAGAAGAGGCGGGACGGAGTTATGAAGTCTTAATGAACACTGTTATTTGTACCAAACATTTTCCAAGCAAATATCTTATTCACAGCCAGACAAGAAAGAATATGTCCGGACATAGACAATCACATCACAACTTATCGGTAGACTATGTAAAAGATTTAAACACATTTTTACGGAGCAAACTATTATCTCTCTGGATGCGTTATTTCTGTTCATTGACAGTCAGCTTCGATAAATAGTCGATTGGATATGAAAGATGGGCTATAAATTGGCATTAAAGTTTCGCCATGGAGACTAAATGAATTCCTGTTAATATTTGCTCATTGTAGCAAGTTATCTCATTAACAAGTCAACACGATTAATTATCCCTATTTTAGCGTATATCATCTTGGGGAAATAAGTAAGCGATGTGCCACGAATCTTCTTAAGTAAACTTGAAGAATATTATCAACCTCTGAATGATAATTTAGCTATCTGTACTAAAAGTCTTGGAACTATTTAAACATTTTCGTAATGCTCATTCATTGCTTACTTAAGATTCGATGAATAATACTGATAATGGAAAACGACTGATTAAACTCTTTTGAATGCTGCTTAACTATATATTCATCATTTTCATGAACAAGGAATTTAATTGAGTTAATTGTAGCGTTTGGTTCAGTGTAAAATGAGTTTTCACGGCAGACTGACACAATCGTGACTAATTTCCATATCAGTTATCGTAGTCCTGGGGTGAGGTCACGATTACTGCAGTACTACCGTATTGGAAGTGAAAAACAGCCAATAAGTCCTCTTCAATTTCCAATATTTCTCTAGCTAATGTCATTTCATAATAAGAACTCTTTTCACGATTGAAAGATAATCAAAAGTTGTGTTGTAAGCTGAAAAATGTATTAGTGTATAAATAGTACATATATTATCACATTAATCTATGCTTCTATTTGTTGTTATAGTTTACGAGAATGATTTACACTGATCAAATTAATTTGTTCTGAAGACATAGAACATCAAATATGAAGGCAAATTTCTCTTAAAAGATAACTTTCAAGTACTTGTCACTAAATGGCTACCAACTTCATCAAAAAGACAAATTATATGTATTTGTTAGTGTGATTTTACAAAAGTTTGGAAGAAAACTTAGTTTACTTTAGAATGAGATTTTGAATAAATCTAAAAATATCACCTAAGCAAAAGTATATTGAAAAAAAAACGTGAACTGAATCAAACTATCGAGTTTTCAATAGTTATATAATAAATAAATATGACAGAATGCTTATACTTACTTGCCAGTCACTGACTAAATTCTTCATTACTTCCTGAAAATACGGATTTTGTTCCAACCCAATGCCTATCATCTTTACAAAAAACATGAAAATGAAGAATGTGATGTTGCAAACGTGGTCTAATACTTCCGCCAAATATAGGGTAAACCCGAATAGCGCAACCACAGCAAAAAACTGAATACTATGCATTTATTTATTTTGGGAATTCCCTTCAACTATTTATAACCTTGACAGATAACAGTAATGAGTATTTGAAAGCAGTTTGCCCATTTTATAAAGTTTTAATGAAGATTAATAAAAATCTATTGAACTTGACTGCATATGTTTCCAACAGTTCCCTTCCATAATCTCCAATCTAGTTAGCACATGAATATTTAACTGGTAGAACATTTCTATGATTCTTTGTTATTTACCATGTTTTCGCTGATCTCCATTAAACTGTTATAAAGGGTGCAAACCGCATTTTCAATAACTATTATTTTTTGCAGCCAGGTTGTAAGTAGTTGAGGCGGATGCACGAAATAAATGAATTCATAATATTTTGTTACGTATACTGTTACATTATACAAATTTATAACAGGGAAAAAGTTTTATTGGAATGAAACGAACTTGTTTAGCCTCGTTTAAGCTACTCACATGATTCATGTTGGAATATTACCATAGTTACAATTGGCTAGTTTGTGGTAAATATGTCTTATCAGTATTGCGTATGATGTTGACTACGTCTCTTTTATTATGATTTAATTTGTTTGTACTTATGACTCATTGTGATGCAAAAGTAGAATTTGAATAATCTAAGACATTTTGAAAAACATGTCGTTAGGTTAAATAGTAGTAGTCTTTGTCCAATTCCTAGTTCTTTATTTTGTTATTTTTTTCAAGTAAAAAAATAGTTGTGTGATCATATTTATTAAATCAGACAATTATGTATGTCCCCGTTTCACATTCAGTTATTGCCTAAAAAGCTTATAGCATCATAGGTGATATAATAAACTGCATATCTTATGACTAATATGCCTTTAGTTGCTGCAAAACTGGAAAACTCAGTCGCGGTAACAGCAAATATTGCTTCTGATTATGAGTTTAACTCAATAAAACAAGTATTTAAGCACAACTTTGTTAATTATGTCAGTATTAGCCCTATTTGTGCTTGATTTGTAAGGCTATCGGTTTGTAATATCCATTTCATTTTAATCAGGTCATTGATTGGAACTTTTCTACCAAGATATATTATTCCACTTAGTACTCTGTTCAACAATTTTCGGCCTTAAAATCATATTAGTTTAGTCTCTATTGATTGAAGGTTTGACAAAATAGTCCTGCAGTATTTCTAGTTGTACACTTAATCCACAATATAAAGAGAGAGAGAGAGAGAAATCTTCTCATCTGTTGTGAAAATTTGAGCGTAGTTATCATACACCAGTGATATCTAAAAGAAATGTCATCATTCAACTAGTTTCTAGAGATACAGTTTATCGACTTTCTTTCACATTGTACTTTAGTCGTTCAGACTATGAATAACTTATTCATTTGAGTATGACTTGGCTTTTTTGAAAATAAAAAAAAAATCACTTCTATGGTAATGTTACACACTGAGTGTGATAGATAGCTGAGAATTGAAAGTAAGTGGTAAAAAAGTATGAACAATTCGGTTGTGCTGGATTTAAGATATTTTAGCATGTCAGATCATTCTAAAAATGATCAAAGTAAGACAATTAGTAATCGAATTTAAATTCTTTTCAGGAATGAATACTTTATTTAGTTGAAATTCAATTTACCACACGATATCAATACTGACAAGGTGATTAAAATTAATCACTAGATAGCAAGATATTAAAACCCACGTGATAAAAACTCTAGCAATGAGAATGATGAATGTCTGCGTATTGATCACAGATGTGAGATCAATTCATATCTCTATATTTCGCTACACATTTAAATGTGTTTAAATAAAGTATCATTCCGACTGAGTTAAATCTAGATTAGTTTCCAATTCATGCGAACTGCACACAAAAAAAACGTCTTGAAAAAGAATCACTAAATATCCAAATCACTAATTCGATATTTCGAAAATTTTATCTCTAAAATTTTTTTTACACCAAGTGCTTGCTTCAAAATCGTAAGTAACTGACCTGGGTTTCTTGAAATTTTTCAAAAATGTTCCATAGTTCAACAACATTAGTGTTAAGAAGCATGTCCAGATCAAGTACAATGACCTAGAACATAAATCAAAGTTACAGATAAGGATTATTGTTTTTGCCTATTATTGCAGTCAACATAGACATTTCAGGAAATCTATCGATCTACGTAATATGTTGTTTATCACCAGTAGAGAATTTTGAATTTTCTTCTTTATCGCTTGGAAATCATTTAAAGCGTTTTAGAGATATTAACCGCTATATTATAATCGCTCTTCAGTTCATTATACTTTGCTGTATAGTTGGCATTATGAAACATGACATTAAATATCCTTGTTTATTGCAATTGTTAACAAAATTACAGTTCTTGTTGTAAGTTCACAAGTTGGTCTCCACAATACACATAATTTTTTTTAAGGTAATAAGATTATCCACTTCAAATTTTAATAAATGGGGTGAAAGGATCTATACATGTGTGGTGCGCGTTACTTATAAGTAGTATATGACGCAAGCGTAAACGTAATGTCTGGCAGCAGAAGATGGGGGAAGATCAAGAAAGGAAGAGTGGGAACACAATGGAATTTGTATGAAACGCATGAATAGTGAACTGTCAGACAATGGAATGATGATGGATTGAAGATTTGCAAATTAACGGTTACGATATGGTTTTCCTATTTTACTGAGTAACTCTGTAATTTTCATTAAATACAATTCGGTTGCCCTCACCAGTGTTCTCCTTCACTACACATGTTCTTACAAATTATGTTATACTTTTGTCTATAGAGCATTCATTTTTGTACTAGCAAGGGTTGGGTATGATTAATGAACCAAAAGAATTAATAGGTTAATTAATTGTGTAGAAAGGAAGATTTCACGGTTTGAATGCAAAAAAAAGACAATTGGTTAATACAAACATCTTTAATCTTGTTCAACATTATTAATACAATGTTTACATGTACATACTATAAGTATGGGATTATTGCAACAGTTTTATTTTAATGCAATAATAAAACTATCCTTGAAAATACTGAATCTTATACGACTAAGTATGTCATATTATGTGCTTTACTAATATCTTAAGATTCCCTTTCTTAGGTATATATACATTAACTTATTGGTGGTATATTCATATGAAATTTAACCATTTACTTAACTTATAGGATTTTTACATCTAGTTTGCTAAACACCTATGTCCACACTCTTACAACCATGTGAGTCTAGTTATTAATACTTTTGAAACAATCAATTATCTGAATGAACAAGTATTTATTTACTGTAAACTATTAATAAAGATTGTCGTTTACCATAAAGATGCACTAAAATGTGATATTTAATTTCTAATATTACATTGAACAACCAGAATAACATATACTTTTTACACACAAAAGTAAGGTGCACTTAATAATATTTGATAGCTTACATGCAATTTGATTGTGTAATAAGTGTCTTGTTATTACATGATTTCAGAAAGATTAATTTGATCATAATTTCCGTATCATATCCGGTTCTGTTATGGTGATGAGACTAAAGATGCACTTCATTATCTAAGTACCAACAACTATACTATCTAATCTCAAAGATTTCTAATGATTACATTTAGCTGTTCAATATGACATCGAAGTATTTTCTTACTTGATGATTATGCTGTTGAAATGCATCGACAATGAATTCTGTCTGATAGTCGATTCATTTACCGTCTGTGATAATTCTACGTGGATAGATGATATATGTCTTTTCTGATTCGAAATAAAATGAATATAAAATGGCTTAAATGAAAATATGTGTGAAAGGTTGACTATCGCTCAAGTAAACTAAAAAAATTCTTATATTTAGTTCCGCTAGATGAGAATCGAAGATCGACTACAAATATTTCTTGTGATGATCGTGTCCACAGAACAAATATATCTATCCTCGAATAAAGCATGATATTGTTCAAGCAGGTTTATGACATAAGACTTGTCTGTTTGGAAAATATATATTTATCGACAAGGTATTCATATTTTACTAAAATTAAGGGTTTCTATTTACGTTACCGAAACCAGTTTCCATAAAAATCTATACAGACAGTAGATTATATTTTCTAATTCGATTTCGTCTAGTTTATCTAAAATGGTTGTTATTATAAATATGAATATAGCTTGAAAGGGTTAAGCTTGAGTCTATTGTAAATCAAGTATTACGTCGATTTTTCCTTTTGTAGTGAACTCCAACACACAATCATGATTTTGGTCTATTTTGATGACTAATCTTTAGAAATATCCAAAATAAATAATCACTTTGAAGAATAGTCATAGATAGTATACAGATGTAATAATATTCCGAGTCTTTAAAGAAATTTGCAGAGTAGGACTCCTAAAATATATATAATCAGTCTTGGGAATGGATGTTAACTGGAAAAATTTGTATTTGTCATAGTTTAAGCTGATCATTCACAGTCTAAACTCATAGACAACAATAATAGATCAATCGAGGAGTATCCTAAAACTAAGTGGTAGTTTTTGTAGCCATTCAAATGTTTCCTCGTAGCCCATTTTGTAACTGTTATGCTTTAAATTCGTTTACAATTTTGTCATCACATAGAACAATGCTATTAAGATATCCAAGTTAGTCCATTAGGAAATAGTTTTTACCTTTCAAAGTTGTTAATTGGTAAAGAGTGGTATTACATACAGTATTCTAACATTTCCATAGACAGTTATTTTCAGCAAATTTCGAATGGAAAACACGCCTTTGAGAATGAACGCTTGTAATTTTTGTCAGTCGTCTTAAGAATATTTTTACTGTCTGATTAAATCATTTCCCGACGGTATTTTAGAAATTATTATGTGCATTTCGTGAGTATTCACGAAAACCAAAGTTCTTATAGAGAATGATCGTCATAGGACTACTTGAATAAAAATAGAAATATTTAAACTCTGATAACTCAGCTTATAAAAACTGAAGCGTAAAAGACTGCGGTAAGTTTAGTATCATGAATATTCCATTCATGCTTGTGCTTCATCAGAACAATTTCTTTAAGAAACAATCAGACTATTGATTCAAAACAGTTTAGTCTAGTGGACTATACAGAGGGACTAAAGAAAATGATACTGTTTTGTACCTTTTTTTATGTGTGATATGACTATATGGCAAATAACACAAAGAAAAATCCAATTATTCCTGTCACAATATTGTAAGCAAACGGTGACATACTTTATTTACAGAAGATGGAAGAATTTCAGGAAGCAATAGTTTTACAAATGGCTTTGCACCTGCAGGATGCTTAGATACGATCCATTGAAGTTTCTCCTACAAAAAAGTATTTTAGATCATACAGAAAAAAAAAAGAATAACGTTTAGTGGATCCAGTCGATATTATTAATCTTGTATGCTTAAAATAGGCATGAAATGATTTAGTGTTATAATTAAAATATAACAAATGATAGTAATTCATTTACTTATACTGAAGTAAATATGCTAACTTTTATTTAATGACTGTTGCATAGGATTGGTGTATATTTATGAACATGATCAAGTTATTGATTTATACCCATACGGTAATTTAAACATAATTACGCTAAATATTCATGACGTCATGGTGTTTTATTAAAAAACATTCGATTTCTTTTAAAAATACAGGTATTTTATCAATGTGTAGAATGAAAATCAATTCATGCTAATAGACACATTTACCGACGTAAATTAAATGCTTCTCCATCTACAATCGATATTCAATATCATTAGCACATTAAATAGAGAAGTAGAGAGTTAAATAAATATACTAGTATTTATTATGGAAATTACTGACATCAGTCTATTTTTGTGGGCAGGCCGAAATCGGAGGATTTATTTTTGAGAGAAAAGTTGTCAGTGAGAAATAGCTTTTTTAAAACTTACTCCGGAAAAAAGTATTCTTGTCGACACTTAAAACCTATGATCTAATGATTTCTAATTCATTATTATATGTTTGCTTTGTAAGGACCTTTGATTTTGCAAAATTTTTCAAATTTTCTGTGAAAGTTTTGAACAAAAAGATTATTTATTACCTGCTGATAATTAAAAGAGGAATAACTAAAGTCCGGCAGAGGTCTTGACTTCATAATCGACGTCGAGCCACAAGCATATATGAGTTAGTTCGATTTGTAATAACATTAGGAAGACGATGATCAAAGACATCGGATTAGTGGTTGAGATGATAGCGAGAAAGACTAAATGTTAAGAATATAGTTTGAGAAAATGGAATAAAATGATGACCTTAACATCTGCTTTAGAATGGCCTTTTATGAACCGTATTACTCAACGTTTCTAGACCCTGGTTGTGGTTATTGAGTGGAATCTGACAAGTTTTAAGTTACTTCAATGCTAAGCGTTGTAATATGGATAATTTATGCACTCAATTGTGATCATACAATAATTATTGTCACTTAATTTCATCAATCGACGCTGTTTAGCAACTTACTAACACTTTAGTTTGCATACGGTTAAGTTACGTCATTCAAGCAACATGATAAGTACAGAAAACGAGACACATAAATACATGTTCACATTCATAAAATAAGTCAACGTTACAAGCGAATAATTGACATGGTCAGAATATGTGTGGACAATGCCTTGAAAAAAAAATTAACTAATCTGCCCAAAAGCTAGAATAACTGATACAGGCATGCATTGTAGCACATACTACAGTACAGTAAATAGCGAAAGCGCAGTATACTGATGGTTCTGGTCGACTTATGAGCCAATCAGGAAACAGTGGCATGTTACAAAACGTTTAATAGCTACGATTAATAAAATACTAGTGGAATAGTAGCTTTGATCTGAATGATCAACCCACACATGTCAAATTATTCCTTGTAGTGAAGTAAAATGGTTAAGTTTGCACATCAAGATTCAAATTAGTGATTTCACCATCGACCAAGACTAACCATAATGTAAAAAGGTTAAATTTAAGTATACAAAACTAAGCTGGAGTTATTATTTTTGTTTTCCAAATTATGGTAAAGGTTTTTATCACGAAGTGACACTAGCTATGATGCAATGTTTAGTTATTCTAATGTTTGATAACTTGAAAGACTTAAAGTTGGGACTTAGAGCAAGCTTTAGAAAGGGAGTGTATTATCAAGTTTCACTAACCAATCTTGACAACGAATTGAGTCACAACAAATACTTTAACACACAATCAACTAGAATACAGTTATGTTTTGCAATTTACCTAAAGAGACATCGTACATTCATTTTTTGCTTTCCGAATACGGATTCCAACTCCGCTAGTAGAACCTTAGGGGCTACTGCCGGTCCCAAGCCCGGATAAAGGAGGAGGGTTGGACATGGGGTTGGCGACCCCATTCCGTTGAAATCTCACTTGCCAAAAAAACGCTAACCAGAAAAAATAATTCAAACCATTTTAACTCTGCCCTGGAAGTTGGAAGAAGAATTATGACGTCTCGTGATGAAAGCCGAGTTCCCTCGGAAGTCACGGGGCCGATGCCTCTTCTGACAACCAGAGCAACCATTTTTTTAGGTACATGGAACGTTCGTACATTGTGGGAGACTGGAAGACTATTTCAAGTTGCGGCAGAAATGAAAAGATACAACCTCGAGGTGCTTGGAATCAGTGAAACGCATTGGACACAAGTAGGACAACTGAGACTAGCTTCAGGGGAACTGCTGTTATACTCTGGTCATGAAGAGGAAAACGCTTCACATACACAAGCAGTTGCACTGATGCTGTCCAAACATGCACAAAAGGCACTGATAGGATGGGAATCTCATGGGCCGAGGATCATTAAAGCATCCTTCAAAACAAAGAAAGAGGACATTACAATGAACGTCATCCAATGTTATGCACCTACCAATGACTACAATGACGACGTTAAAGATCAGTTCTACGAAAGGCTGCAGTCAATCGTCGATAAATGTTCACCAAAGGATTTGACGATTCTTATGGGAGACCTGAATGCCAAGGTTGGAATGGACAACACTGGATATGAAGACATCATGGGACGACATGGACTGGGAGAAAGGAACGAAAACGGTGAGAGATTTGCAAACCTATGTGCCTTCAACAAACTGGTCATCGGTGGCACAATATTCCCGCACAAACGCATTCACAAAGCCACATGGATTTCACCGGATCACACTACTCAAAACCAAATTGACCATATCTGTATCAACAAAAAGTTCAGAAGGACCGTGGAGGATGTGAGAACCAAGAGAGGAGCTGATATAGCTTCAGATCACCACTTGCTGATCGCCAAAATGAGATTGAAGCTAAAGAAGCACTGGACAACGGGGCAGACAACATCACAGAAGTTTAATACGGCCTTTCTTCGGGATACCGTAAAACTCAACGAATTCAAGATAGCCCTCACCAATAGGTTCCAGGCCTTTCAGGATCTACTCAATGGAGAGGAAGCAACATTGGAGAACAATTGGAAAGGGATTAAGGAGGCAATCACTTCAACATGTCACGAAGTTCTGGGTCACAAGAAGCAGCATCACAAGGAATGGATCTCTGTTGATACTCTTGCAAAAATTGAAGAAAGGAGGAACAAGAAGGCAGCAGTGAATGTCAGCCGAACAAGAGTAGAGAAAGTTAAGGCGCAAGCCGAGTATACAGAAGCAAACAGGGAAGTGAAGAAGAGCATCAGAGCTGACAAACGAAAATATGTGGAAGATCTAGCAATGACGGCGGAAAAGGCTGCAAGAGAAGGAAACATGAGACAATTGTACGAAACAACAAAGAAGCTCGCCGGGAACTATCGTAAACCAGAACGACCAGTGAAAAGCAAGGAAGGCAAAGTAATCAGCAACACTGACGAACAGCGAAATAGGTGGGTAGAGCACTTTCAGGAACTCTTGAATCGACCAGCTCCACTGAACCCACCCAACATCGAAGCAGCATCCAAGGACCTCCCAATTAATATTGGCGCACCTACGATTGAGGAGATCAGTATGGCCATCAGACAAATCAAGAACGGCAAAGCAGCAGGACCAGACAATATTCCAGCAGAGGCAATGAAAGCAGATGTAGAAGCAACTGCGAAAATATTTTACATCCTGTTCAAGAAGATTTGGGATGAGGAACAAGTACCATCAGATTGGAAAGAAGGATACCTCATCAAAATACCAAAGAAAGGCGACCTGAGCAAGTGTGAAAACTACAGAGGCATCACTCTTCTTTCAATACCAGGCAAAGTCTTCAACAGGGTATTGTTAAACAGAATGAAGGACTTCGTAGACGCCCAACTTCGAGATCAACAGGCCGGATTTCGTAAGGATCGATCATGTACTGACCAAATTGCTACATTACGGATCATTGTGGAACAATCAATTGAATGGAACTCACCACTCTACATCAACTTCATCGACTACGAGAAAGCATTCGATAGCGTGGATAGGAAAACACTGTGGAGGCTTCTTCGACACTACGGTGTGCCTGAGAAAATAGTCAACATCATACGGAATTCTTATGATGGATTCAACTGCAAAATCGTGCACGGAGGTCAGCTGACAGACTCTTTCGAGGTGAAGACCGGTGTCAGGCAAGGTTGCTTACTCTCACCCTTTCTCTTTCTCCTGGTCATCGACTGGATTATGAAGACGTCAACATCTGGAGGGAAGCACGGTATCAACTGGACAGTTAGGACGCAGCTGGACGATCTGGACTTCGCAGATGACCTGGCTCTTCTATCGCACACGCAACAACAAATGCAAGAGAAGTCGACCAGTGTAGCAGCAGTCTCTGCAACAGTAGGTCTCAACATAAATAAAGGAAAAAGCAAAATTCTCCGATGCAACACAACATGCACCAACCGAATCACGCTTGATGGAGATGCCTTGGAGGACGTTAACACCTTCACATATCTTGGCAGCATCATCGACGAGAAAGGTGGATCGGACGCAGATGTGAGGGCGCGGATTGGCAAAGCGAGGGCTGCATTTCTACAGTTGAAAAATATCTGGAACTCCAAGCAACTTTCAAACAAAACCAAAATCAGGATTTTCAATACAAATGTGAAGACAGTTCTACTGTATGGAGCGGAAACATGGAGAACTACCAAAGCCATCATTCAGAAGATACAAGTGTTTATTAACAGCTGTCTACGCAAAATACTTCGTATTCGTTGGCCAGACACTATCAGCAACAACGTACTGTGGGAGAAAACAAACCAGATTCCAGTGGAGGAGGAAATCAGGAAGAAGCGATGGAAGTGGATAGGACATACACTACGAAAAGCACCCAACTGCATCACTAGACAAGCCCTCACATGGAACCCTCAAGGCAAAAGGAAAAGAGGAAGGCCAAG